AAAAAAAAAAAAAAAAAAAAAGCTCTACCTTGTAATCACATTTGCAAGATTAATTGGTTAATAGACATTAGGATAAAAATGGACATTACTAATATTATTCCATAATGAACAGCTACTCAGGAAAAGAATTAGGTCTACTTTTTCCTGCTACTTAAATTATACAAAGCATACATAAATTATTGCCTATCTCGACGTTGTTAGGGAAAAACCAACTTGGGGGAGTCTTTTAATCAGTCAGAGTTAAGAAGGCAGTTAGTTCAAGGCCAGTTTAAAATTTAAATTCCTGCTTTGTTTTTGTTTAAAAATGACAAGTTTTGGAAGGGTGTCCCGTGGCCAAGGAAGGAAAATGTCTCTTTATGACAGTTTAATACAGAGCCTTCCATCAGGGCATTACTCTCTACATTGCTGTGGATTAGTCAGAGAGCCCACAGAGGTCTACACAAGTGGGGCTGCCCCCTCTTGCCCAGACAGGGTCATATCTGGGGAAGGGAGATTTCACCAGGCACTGCACACACAGTATTTCAACCAGGGGACACTTCAGGCCTGCCCTGTACCTGCTACTTCATGAGGTACATGCAATTCAATCCACCCCCTTGTATAACAAGGTAACTGGGATTCACCCTCATCCATAAATAAGCATGTCGAGAAAAAAATAATTACCTCTGCTTGCTGCTTTTAATTAAAGCCTCGGAGGGACAGTGTTGGATTATGGTAATGAGCAGACATACGTCCCCTCTTGTAGGCTGCAGAGAAAGGTTAGCTGACACAGAATCAGTGGCCCAGACACTCCACTTGAAATCCATTCGCCATGCTCGGCTGTCTCTGCTTGCTCACTAAGGCTGCTCCCCTCTTTGGAAGAAAAACAAAACAAAACAAAACAAATCAACTCCTGGCCACTCAGTTCAATAAACAAGAAGAGAGGAGAAGAGCTTTCTCCCAAGGGTGAAAGTTATTTTCAGTCAGGAAACTATATGCTAGTAAAAAGAAAGAAAGGAAGAAAGGAAGAAAGGAAGAAAGAAAGAAAGAAAGGAAGGAAGGAAGAAAAAGAAAAAAGAAAAAATCCTATTGTTCTCCCCTAATCTGGTCCCAAATCCTGGCCCATCCTCCCCCGAACTGATGCAAAAACCCGATTTCTCTTTCCTAGCCCTGTTTTCCTTCTGGAGAGCAGTGCACTCTGAGCTCCCACTCTTCCAATTATTTTAAAAAGCGAGTGAGGGGTGGGAAGGAGAGGAAAGTACTCCTTAGTTGTCATTTTCAGAATGCTCCAGATTAATCTGCCACTGGCTTTATTTTGGAAATAAAGGCTATGCAAAAATCAGGCAAATTCAAGAAAATTTTGTCTAAGAGTTGAAATGTTCTGCCTGGATTCATAGAGGCAAAAGGAATAATATAAATTGTTTCCTTGTCCTGTGTATCTGTCTCCAGTGATGGAGGATTCAGGCATCCAGCGGGGCATCTGGGATGGAGATGCCAAGGCTGTCCAGCAATGTCTAACAGATATTTTTACCAGCGTTTACACCACCTGCGACATCCCTGAGAATGCTATATTCGGTCCCTGCATCCTGAGCCATACTTCCCTGTATGACAGCATAGCTTTCATTGCGCTCAAGTCCACAGACAAGAGAACAGTCCCCTATATCTTCCGGGTAAGTCTTGGCCAGTGGTGCACAGGGTATGAGGGTAATGCCCTGTTGAAAACTGACTAAGAATCATTCAAATGACAATCTGAGATAGGTTCTGAATGTAGAAAGTGAAATAATGTGAGACATCCTATTTAACAGATCAAAACATTAAAAACAGAAAAACAAAAATTAAACTCAAATTATTGGCAACTGATTTCTGGAATAAATGACAAAAATTTGATTCGGAGTACCAGGTATATCTAAATTGCTGCCTCAGTCCTAGGCTTTCCTGGTGATAAACACAACTTCCTTAACTTTGGGGCAGATTTCAACCAGGGTTGAAGCTGTTTGCATAATAACTACTCTCTGTAAGTTCTTTTATTATAAGCATCGGCTGCATTTGTGTTCCAACCTAGGAGGCCTAGTTTTCTCCTAAATGTTACTCTTTCTAGTAAGCTAGCTAGTACCCAGAATTTGTATTTAATAAAGATGTTAATGGCTGGACAATAAAACAGCATTAAATTTGTATGAGTTTCAAGATATAATTCCTCTCTCATTCTGTCTTTCCAAAGAAAAACTATTAATTGTTTAAGGCAAAATTAGGAGGATGAATCAATGCCACAGAATAATTTCTAAGATCTAAACTTGCTTTTTTAACTTCCAGAAACAGACAAAATCCCTCACACTTGTGTAATGTGAGATAATTGAGAAGTGCATTCTCAAGAGGTTAACACTAATTTAAATTGTAAGGAAAAATTTCCTCACCAATATATGAAAACTACAGTTTCATCTATATGATTGATACAGTGTTTCAAAGGACGGTTATCTTGCCTCCTGGTTACAAAAACGAAGATGGGTGCCGACCTGGGTCTTGGTTAAGCTTGAGCTCAGATAATTCTCTGGAAAAGAATAACATAGAGGAAATGGTCCGGTTCCTCTGGCTTCATTCTCTCACAGGAGTCTCCCCCACCCCCCACCCCCATCCCCTACCTCCTTGTATTCTTTCTTTTTTCCAAACTGTAGGTAGACACCTCAGCAGCAAATGGTTCTTCGGAAGGTCTCATGTGGCTGCGTCTCGTCCAATCAGCCAGAGATAAAGAGGAACAGAACCTTGAAGCCTATATAAAAAACGGACAGCTGTTTTACCGCTCTCTCCGCAGGATTGCCAAAGACGAGGAGTTACTAGTTTGGTACGGGAAAGAACTGACTGAGTTACTCTTGCTCTGCCCCTCTAGATCCCACAGCAAAATGAATGGTAGGTTGGCTCGCGACCTGCGACGGGGCCCTTCGCTAGCGGGGAAGACGCAGGGAGAGGCGGGGGCTCCCTCGGGCGCACTGGCGTCTTTCCTCCCTTAGGGCGACTGGGCAGGGAAACTTCGAGCTGGGACAGATAGGTGAGGATGAATCGGGGACACTAGGCTTGATGACTGCACTCCTCCCCCGCGCCCCAAATCAGGAGGGAAAGTTAGATCAGGTCGGACAGGATACTCTTTTCTCAGGCACTCAGGTCCTGAGAGATGAAGGTGGATTTGTGAAAAGGGTGATGGCAAACCGGTCTGGAGACGATGCTTAGTAATCCTGTGGTGTGCCTGTGTGTGTGCGCGCGCGCGCACGTGTGTGTGTGTGTGTGCGTGCGTGGGTGTGTGGTGTTTTCTCACTAAGCAGGGTCGTCCCCTTACACATGCCTGGAATGCAGCCAACGTTTCCAGTTTGAGTTCCCCTATGTGGCGCATCTGCGCTTCCGCTGCCCCAAGAGACTTCACAGCGCTGATGCCAGCCCCCAAGAAGAGCAAGGCGGCGGCGTGGGCACCAAGGATCACGGGGGCGGGGGCGGTGGCAAAGACCAGCAGCCGCAGCAACAGGAAGCGCCCTTGGGCCCCGGCCCCAAGTTCGGCAAAGCCGGACCTATCCACCACTACCCGGCCCCCTCCCCCGAGGGCAGTAACCAGCCCGCGGCAGGCGGCGGCGGCGGCGCCAAGCCCTCCACGGACTTTCACAACCTGGCCCGGGAGCTCGAAAACTCGGGGGGAGGCAACAGCTGCTCCCCCGTCCGGGGCCTCGGTAGCGGCGGCGGCGGCAGCGGCCACCAGGAGGCGGAGCTGAGTCCCGACGGCAACGCCACAGGCGGCGGCAAGGGGAAGAGGAAATTCCCGGAGGAGGCGGCGGAGGGGGGCGGCGGCGTGGGGCTGGCGGGGGGCCGGGGCCGCTTCGCCGAGCGGCCCCTGACCGCCTCCAAGGAGGACTTGGTGTGCACCCCGCAGCAGTACCGCGCCTCGGGCAGCTACTTCAGCCTGGAAGAGAACGGCCGCCTCTTCGCGCCGCCCAGCCCCGAGACGGGCGAGGCCAAGCGCAGCGCCTTCGTGGAGGTGAAGAAGGCGGCCCGAGCGGCCGGTCTGCAGGAGGACGCGGCCGCCGACGGCGGGGGCGCGGCCGCCGAAGACCAGGACGCGGGCGGCGGCGGCGGCGGCGGCTCCTCCACGCCCGTGGCCGCTTCACCGGCAGGCGCCGACAAGCTGCTGGCCCCGCGGCCTGGG